TGATACAGTACCCCAAAACCATGGATGATCCCGCCCAGCGGTTTCATATATATGTTGAACAGGAGGGGTGAGAGAACCGACCCCTGGGGCACCCCACAGGGTCGATCCCTGTCCTCCAGTCAACAGGAACTGCGACTGATCCGACAGGTAGGAGGAGAACCACTGTAAAACGGTGCCACCCACTCCCAACCCCGCGAGTCGTCGCAGTAGGATACCATGGTCCTACAGAGTACTTTAGCTTCTTCATTTTCCATAACTTTATCTGTTTTGGGGTCCCATTAATTCTTGCTTGCAGGTATTATATTACTATTATTTGTTTATTTGTTTGATTTATATGGCTGCCCATCCCAAACAAGTGACTCTGAGCAATGAACGATCACAAAATCAATTAAAACCAAATTGCAATCAGAATAAGAAAAAAAAAGTAAGTGTGTATAGCAACCGAGAAGAATGACAATCCATAGATTTTAACCAGGAAATAAGGCTCTTCACACCAGTGGTGGGTTTCTAATCTTTTTTTACTTCACTCATGTGCACATGTGATGCTTCTGCGCAAGCACAGAAGAGTCCAGATGCGTGGGGAGAGCCTCCTCCCACTGCCACTACTGGTTTGCCCGATCCGGGCTGAACTAGCAGAAACCCATCTCTGCTTCACAAACTTGGGACCCAGATGTGGGCAATTTTATTGTTTACAAGCTGATAACCCAGCGTTGCCCCAGGTATTTATTTATCATAATCCTGTATTAGATGGGAAAAGCCCTGATTTTGGCAACAATTAAATTAGCTATAAATATTTCTCTGTGCCCCCAGAAGCGTCAAGGAAAGTAAGAGCCCCCTTGTGGAGTACTGTGAAGCTATTACCATGGCAACTCCACTGCGCTGTACAGTAGAAGCCATTTTGCAGCAGTACAGTAGAAGCCATTTTAAGGCACAACAGGCTGTATCTTAACAGAACACACACTCCGAGAGGTTTTAGGGGTGTCTTACCTCCCCAGAGGGTAGGGTAAGTCATCTGTGAACCAAGTTTGGTTGAAATTGCTCAAGACATTCCAGAGTTATGCTGGAACACAGACAGACACAAAGATAGACACAGAAACAGACACAGAAATGTATACACTATTATTTCAGATAGATGTTATGGTAACAATAGCAGGGTGGTGATAAGTGATTTTAATTCATCCCAACTCTAGAACAGCGGAGGTTCAGCATGGCACAATTAGAGCTTGGAACATTTAACTGCTGGAACAATTTGCACCCCCCCCCCCCCCCTCTGTGAGAAATGGATGATGCACTTCTCCAGTAGTAATTTCTTGTCTTTCCAAGGAAACAAAAGGAATTTATATAATGCACTGCTAGGGAGCCAAAAGTGATCGTTTCTATAAGGTCTCTTGAAACGTTTGAGTCAAAGATATACAAAACAGCTGGCTTAGCAGCTTAATTTAAAAAAACAAGAATAAAGCAAAAAACGCCTAAATTGGATGGTTTCTAATCAGTGTCACTGCTGATGTTCAAGAGGACTTTGATAAGGCTCATTTGCATAATAAAAGATGCCTTCGGCCTGCTGTTACTCTATTGCTAGCAATAGCCATATATTGTTATCTAAATTACATAAAAAGATGTTGCCGATGTTGCTATTTTCTTCCTAACCGGAATAGCAAAGTCAGATGTTCAGGGCCTAAAGAGTGGAGATTTTGCAATGAAGGAATATGGCCTGTTGAATTTCTACCTTCCTTATAGCTTTTAAAGTATGACAGCGATGGTGCCACACGCATGCCTGCCGGAGTGCCAGAAACCCGAAGATGAATTGGTTGGTGTTCATGCAGGCGCCGGCCACTGCTCTTTGGGCTTCCAGAGCATGCATACGTGCCGGCCAGCTGGTCTTCAGATTTCTGGCACTCTGGCACATGCGAAGACCAGGTGGCTGGTGCACATGCCCACAGAGAGGGCTCTACATGCCACCTCTGGAACGTGTGCCATAGATTCACCATCACGGGTACAAGAGTTCTCCTGGAAATGGTTGTTGTGATAGCCTCACACAACAACTGTTGGGCTTTTCCAATGACACGAGTCTCATCCTGTCAACCAGCAAGCTTTTCTCAAATCTTGGTTGGTGAAACGCCAAATTTGTTGAAGACCTACAGGCAAGAGTACAAATGCAAACATTAAAAAAAAACACCAGCAACTTTGGTGAGTGGGGGGGGGGGAAGTAGGCGTAGAAGAATTATATTCACAAATGTTTTAACCGAAAAAACCAGCAAAATTACCTTTCTGAACTAAATTAAACTGTGAAATGAAGCCAAATTAGATGTTCGGTATGGAATATCATAAAAGGGATGAAATAATGCCATTACTTTGACTCGGCCCAAGCATTTCATTCATGGGGGAAAATTCAGAAAGTGCTACCTACTTGACCTCTTGGAAGAAAGATAGGATATAGCATAATCAATCCCATTTCAAGGTTGTTTGTATGTGTGTGCATGCACAAGTGTAGAAGCTAGTAGTCTTACAAGATATATGGCTAAAGGACATGATCTCCTTTTAATCCTCATGCCTTCTGGCCAGCAGCCATAACCTTAAAATCAAGTGTCTATGGAGATTCTCAATCATTCACCTTGTGATTGTCTCAAAGGTGTTTTTTTTTCAAAAAGGCAACTAGACTTTCTTGGTTTTGTAGGAAGTTATCACCCCGCCCTCTCCCAGAAAAAATGAAATATCCCTAGGAAATATTGAAAAGGCAGAATATTTCTCTGGATGTGAAAAGGAAGAAACATGTTTTAAAAGACAGAATACCTGCCTGCACCTTCCTGCCCATCCCCCTTTGTCAATGGGCCATTAAGAAGGCCAAGCTAGTCCACTTTAATAATAAAGAGTTCTCCCCTTCAGATCCAGAGTGATGGGATTAAGGCATGATAATATTGGCCCTTTACCCAACTCACCACATGGCATCTGAGAACTCAACCAAACCTGGATAAAACTCAGCCTAGAGAGTTGCCCCTGCATGGCTCCATGGGAATCTGACAACCAATCAGAGCACAAGCTCAGGATCAAAGGCCAGAGAGGGCATAAAACCAGGGACTTTCAGCATCTTAGCCTCCCTTCTCTTTTTCTCCACCAAAATTGAAGCATGTGATCACCTTTTCTGTTCAGGGCTCAAGCCATATGATCCTGTCCACCATTAAAACCATGTTTCCAAGCAGCCTCCATGTCTCCAGTGTCTTTTTCCCTACTTGGAAACTGAACCCAGAAGGACATTTCTTCCAACAGTTTTTTCCCCCCTCGAAAACATTTTGCTTCTAATCCAAGAAGCTTCTTAGACGAGAAGCGAAACATTTTCAAAGACACCCCCACCCCTCCGGGCAAGGAAGTCCAGTTCCTTTTTGGAAAAAGTATCTTTGGGACTTAGTCAAGTATTATCCACCTTTAGTGACTTGTCCCACATCACGCATTTCAATGGTGAAATTTGAAATCAGTTTTCTAAGTTTTTAAAGAACTTTTAAAACTGTTTTAATTAATTTTTTTGAGAAATGGAAAGAAACATGAAGATACATGCATTGTCAAAGAAAAGAAAATTACACACATAAAGTTAAAAAAAGTGAAAATACAAGAAAAGGAAAACAAAGGTATATCAATTACAAAATGTGTTTCAAAGTTACTGTATTTTGGAATTATTCCTTGTTGCCGGCAATACTATAGTTGCTCTCTAAAGAAACATTGATCTGGTGAAAACATGACAGGAGGAGGAAGAAGAAGAAGAAGAAGAAGAAGAAGAAGAAGAAGAAGAAGAAGAAGAAGAAGAAGAAGAAGAAAGGAGAGGGAGAATTTTTCAATCCCAAACATCCACCAACTGTTTTTAAAGCCAGGACATTAGTAAATAATACTAAATAACATTCTGATCCATTCCCTCCTGCAATCCTCCTCCTTCTCATTTCTTTTCCTTCCTTCCTTCCTTTTCTTCTGTATTCCGTATTCCCGCAAGTGCAGGCCCGCTTATTCTTATCTATTCCCTTTTACAATCTTGTTTTTTTATGTGGTCTCTGTATAATTGTTTAAATGTTGATTTTACTGTTTGCCCTTGAAAGCTACTTAATGTGAGATGGGCGACCATGATAGATAGGTAGGTAGGTAGGTAGATAGATAGATAAATAGAGTAGATAGACAGACAGACAGACAGAGAAATAGCTGGATGGATGAATGGATGGATGGGTGGGTGGATGGATGGATGATAAATATAATGATAGACAGAGAGACAGACAGATAGAGGGATGGATGGATGGATGAATGGAATGGATAGATAGATAGATAGAGTAGATAGACAGACAGAGAAATAGCTGGATGGATGGGTGGGTGGGTGGATGGATGGAGACAATAAATGATAGACAGACAGATAAATAGAGGGATGGATGGATGGATAGATGGATGGAGTGGATAGATAGGTAGGTAGGTAGGTAGGTAGGTATGTAGATAGATAAGAGTAGACAGACAGACAGACAGAGGGATGGATGGATGAATGGATAGAGATAGATAGATAGATAGATAGATAGATAGATAGATAGATAGATAGATATGGATGGAGATTGATTAGATAGATAGATAGATAGATAGATAGATAGATAGATAGATAGATAGATTTTTTTTTATTTTTGTTTAATTTCTGCTTCTAGCATCGCTCCAGAGAGAGGCTGTGCGCGCCAATTCCCTTTTACGCTCTTGCGCCCAGGCGCCGGTCCGGTCTCATAGAGGTGGGGGAGTGAGCATGGGAAGCCAGGCATACCCTGGACGGATGTGTGGGCGGGCCAGCCGAGGGGTGGGTAGTCCGGATCCGGCACCACTGCTCCGGAGAAAGCAGCCAGCAGGGAGCGCGGCGCTTGGCGCTGCAAAGGAGGAGGAGGCGTCGTCATCCTAAGCTGCTTCACGTCGCCCGCGGCGCCTCCCACCGCGCTGGCCAGGAGGAGGAAGCGGAGTCGTCATGGCCTCGTCTCCCGGGTTCTGCTTCTTGGGGTGGGACTTCAGCACCCAGCAGGTACCGAGAGCAGCAGGCGGAGGAGGCGGAGGTTGCGGCAGCAGCTGGGCGGGCTGCAAAGAGCAGTTTGGTCCGGTAGCAGCCGCAGGGCTCGGCCGCTTTCTCTCCAGCAGCGCCAAGCGCGCGCGGAGCAAGGAGACTAACCGAGGCTCCTACAGCGCCTCGGAGTGCACATCCCATCATCCCCGGCACACGGGATGAAAGTTATAGCCCGACCCTCCCCAGAGAGTGTTTACTTGGGAAGGCTGGTTCAAAACAGAAGCCTGGGGGAGAAAAACAACAACCTGGAACTCATTTTAGTTTGGGTAGAAAATGTACTATTAGCCAAGCTTCCCAGATGTGACGAAAGATCTCTCTTTCTGCCTCTCTCTCAGAATAAAAGCATAAAAATAGTACTGTACGTAAAATTTAAAAGGCCAGGATAATTTTTAAAAAAATATTTAAATAAATAAAACGTTATTTGTATATTAATTGAATAATACATATTAATTAAATCCTCCCTCAACAGAGTGGGGTGGGGTATCCTAGGGTAGCTTGCACTAGATCCCTCTCTTCCTCCAAACATTCTTTGCACATGTTCAATTCACTGAGGTCCTTATTCCTATAAGGACACAGTGGCTCAGTGGCTAAGATACTGAGCTTGTTGATCAGAAAAGTCAGCGGTTTGAATCCCTAACGCCCCATAACGGAGTGAGCTCCCATTACTTTCCCCAGCTTCTGCCAACCTAGCAGTTCGAAAGCACATAAAAAATGCAAGTAGAAAAACAGGAACCACCTTTGGTGGGAAGGTAACAGCAGAGATGCTGGCTCTTTGGCTTTGAAATGGAGATGAGCACCGCCCCCTAGAGTCGGGAACAACTAGCACATATGTGCGAGGGGAACCTTTACCTTTACCTTATTCCAGACTTCCGCTCTGTCAGACAGGTAGGCTTAAGATGAGAATCTTACATTTTCTCCAGCTCCTTCAGATAAAAACCCATATATGGTAGTCACTGACATATATGATTAACTGGGTTTAGAATCATAATGGAGAAAAGTTTGTAGGTGTTTTTCCTTAAATTTGTTCTCCAGTTCCACCCTGCTGTCATAAGGCCTGTACATAGGACTGCAATTTTATTATTCAAGTGAGAATCCATTTTATGGTAAACCCTTTGCTCAGTTTCCATTTATATAGCAATACTACTGTATTTTAACTTGGCAGTTTTTAAGATGTGAAGACTTCAACTCCCGGAATTCCCCAGCCAGCTGGCTGGGGAATTCTGGGAGTTGAAGTCCTCACATCTTAAAATTGCCAAGTTTGAAAAGAACTAATCTAGAATTCCACTATTATTTTTTGACAGGTTAGGCCACAGCCAGAATTTCAGAAGATGTTACTGCCAATTCTGCTATGTATCTCTAGGTGCAAACTCATGTTTCTTGTATTGAATAGAGATTTCTCTCTCTCAATGGATTAAATGAGAATTCTAAAGGTGTATTATTAAGCACGGCTTGTAACATTTCTTAAGGCATGGAGCCATTTGCCTTGACACCTGCATTTTAGAGAACTCTGTTCAGAAGGGATAAATATCATACTTTTAAAATATTTTTGATCCCCTTGTAAGGCAAACACTGCAAAGTGTTGGCATGAGCCGTTTTAAGACTCGTTGGAAGTTTACAACTTTATTTAAAAGCAAACCTGAAGTCGCTGAGCTGCTACATACTCAGATGAGGAACCAAAGGTTAACTATGCAGTTAACTGCTGTAGATTTCTTAATAGTTCAATATCCGTTAGACCAAAACAAACTAAAATTAGAGAGAAAGTGCACGTCACCTTATAAATTCTTCTCGCACATAGATTCTGGATCTTTGAAGGGCAAGTTATGTAAACCTCCTCCTCTCTGTGTATCCTATGCCTTAAACACTGTGCATCCTGTGAAAATAATCGACAATTGTTTTATTCAAACAAGATATCCAGATTACAAAGTCCACAAGAATTAAAAATACTTCTTCGGAGGAGCTAGCTCAGTTTCACACCATGAAGGCTCAGACGTAGGGCATGAGCCCTCCAGAATTGTCATTTAGAATAAGGGAAAATGTTAAAATCCATGGCAAGGAAATAGCCATATGTACTGCGTGCAGCTAGTTTGATTTTTAATTCTTGGACTGATCTTGAAAAAAGCTAAGCAGGTTTAGATGTGATTAAAACTTGGATAAGTGATACATGGAGACTCTAGGCCCGTGATGGCGAACCTATGGCACGCATGCCACAGGTGACACGCAGAGCCATTTCTGAGGGCATGTGAAGCATTACCTTGTCAGCTCCGGCGCGCATGAGCACGTTTTCCAGCTAATTTTCGGCCTTGATTTTCAGCCGTTTTTTTGCCCTCTGGAACCCGGAGGGCGAAAAACTGCCCAATGCCGAAACTGGAAATTAAGGACTTCCAGTTTGCGTGTTTGCCACAGTTTGCCACAGGTCAGAATTGCAATCGTGTGGCTGCAGGGATTGTTTCTAGGAAAAGAAATGCTCATTCGGAAGAATGGATTTGTTGAGCAACCACATCATGTAGAAGATGGTCAGGCTGAGCCAGTCCAACTCACAATAAAATAGCACTGTTCCAATATTTAGAATAGAATAGAATAGAATAAGAGTTGGAAGGGATCTTGGAGGTCTTCTAGCCCAACTCCCTGCTCAGGCAGGAAATCCTCCAGATACAGACAAATCGTTATCCAGTGTCTTCTTAAAGACTTCCAATGTTGGAGCATTTACAACTCCTAAAAGCAAGTTGTTCCACTGATTAATTGTTCTGTTGGGAAATTTGAGAGGTTCCCACATAAATGAGATTGTCAATCTATTTTCCAAAGTACCAAAAGGCACAAAAAGAAACAATGGATGGAAACTAACCAAAGAGAGAACAACCTAGCACTAAGGAGGAATTTCCTAAGGGCGAGACCAATCAACCAATGGAATGGCTTGTCTTCAGAAGTTGTGGGTGATCCATCACTAGAGGCTTTCAAAAAGAGTGAGGGAAGTGCACCCCAAAAGGACAGTGCCAGGCACCACTAAAACAATACAGAAAACCTATAACAGCCATTCCTCTTTTTTAAAAAAAGTCAACCCCAAAACAAACACAGCAGCTGAGAGGGAAACTAAGAGCAGCCGCTCAAGCTAATTGAAAGCCTGGGTGTGCTGCCAAAAGATATTAACCCTTCCAACTCCATTATTCTATGTTCTCTATGTTCTACATTGGGTGCTTCACAGCACAAGCAGTATAGCTGGATGGACCACACATGCATTAATATCACAGCCTGTATGATCAAAATGCATCATTGTCCCTTCCTGTATCTTTTCTCCCTGGAAGAAGCAAAAAGTAGCTAACACTGCAGCAGTTGTAAAAGGTCTTGGGGAATATAAGGTGATCACAGAAGTGTTACTTAATACTCTTCATAATGAAATAATGAAAATTCATAATGAAAATGTTTGTAATCTTCTCCTTCCTGAGGGGAAGAGGTTAAGCCCATCCCTAGATGGGTGATTGATGGGTTTCCCTGCCCCAATCCTGTCAGTTTCTGTTGTTTATTGACTTGATTCAGTGTGTATCAGCTGCACCTGTTAAGTGGTTCTTGGCTATCTGCCCTGAGCGATTAACTGAAGGGAGAGAGAGAAAAAAACACCTCTCATCCACTTTATTTTTAGCCGATTCTCTGAAATGTATAAGAAGTTAACTAGCGGTTCGGGTGAACCGGTGAGAACCGGCTGAATCCCACCTATGGGTCAAACACATTCTCACACCCCCAAAAGAGATAGTCCAGCCCCACTTGAAGTTCCCCCTTGAAGTCTGTTAACTCTTATCTAGCACCAATTTGCATTTATTCTGGCTCCAGGTTTCTTATGCCTAACACTTGATTTGCTTAAAGAACATGTAATGTGCTTTATGGCCATAATGACTCACTTTACAATTGTTGAAAGGCAGTTGCAAAATTGAGACTGATCATGTGCTTCAACTTACGACTGCAAAAATTGAAATTCAAGAGTCCATTGTGGTTGTAAATCAAGAACCACCTGTTTGCAAAGATGAGAGTGTTCTGACTCAAGTTTCCTTAAACAGCAAGAAGCAGAGCAAAACCCCTTTTATTTACACGACTGTGATTTCCTTTCATTCACAGTCAGCAAGGCTTAGCAAACAGTCTTTCAGAGGAATGTTTATCAACACGAACCTTATCTCGTTTGGAGTGCTGCCAGATAACTAATTTCCAAACACAGGGTAAGGCAAAACTTGGCATACAGTCCCTTATAGTTATAAACAAAATTTTCCACTCTTGAAACGACCGAATGAACAAATTGTTCCCTGCAGAAGCCCCTTCCCCATTCGTTTCTCTTTTGTTTCCTATGGGAGGGGTCAATCACCTCCAAGGTGTGGCTTTACTCCCAAGTCAACTCTGCTTTCTTAGTTGTTCTTGTCTTCTGGAAGCTCTACTCAGGCGCACATTGGAAACAGGCTCCAGCTGTTCCTCTGTCTCTCTGCCTCCAATGCAGAGCCCTTGTCTGAGCTTTCCTCAGCCCCCAGGACTGGCCCATGTTCTTCCCCAATCTCCTCACTGTCCAATTCTGCTGACAGCTCTGCTGGCTGCTAGTGGGCCACAACAGAGAGGTAAAATAAAGAACTGAATTATTCTCACATTATTTTGTTCAAAGGAACAATAACAACCCACCACAGCAGTACCATGGCTGTCCTCTTCCATTCTTGTCTTGAAATGAGCAGAAGAAAAAAATTGGTAGCTGTCTGCCACAAATTAATGTTTTAAAAAATTGGGTTTTGTGAAAAACAACAGTAAAAGAACTGCTTGATCCTGCAGAAGTAAGGCCTGGGAACACTGAGGAAATGGTGAGATATTTTTTTCCCCTGCCTAATCATGAGGACTTCAATCTCTTTTTAGCGAGGCTCTAATTTGCACCCGAGAAATAGGGCATTAATCAACGGCCCAGGCTTCGTGAGGGTAGGAAGAAGCCAGCGTGAAGTATCACTTTTTAGATCACGTAGAAATGATGGCTTCTTCCGAATTCAGAATTAATAACATGTTCTTTCTCCAGCTGAAAGTAATTGCGGTCGATGAACGGTTGAGAGTCATCTACGAGGACGTTATTAATTTTGACAAGGATCTGCCAGAATTTGGGTACGTTTTTCTTCCTTTTGTTCTAATGTAACTGGTATACTGTAGATTGGTCCTCTTTGGATAAAGAAAATCGTGGGACTTGCAATCCCGACACATCTGGAAAATGCCTACAGGCATTTTCCAGATGTGTCGGGATTGCAAGTCCCAGTTGAAAGATTTGGCTCAAAATGTTTCCCAATCTTGGCAACTCACATTCGGTTTGACAAGGAACACAATGTTTTCCTAGGCACATATCCTTGTTTATGGATTTAGATGCTATTTTGGAACATAAACAGTTTTGATGAATGGCCCATCCCTGGAACAAATCTATGTTGTTTTGCTTAACTTTGGGTCAGTGTGACATTGCACTTAAGATGACATCCGTCTGGAATAATTAGCTAGAATTTCTGCTGACTAACTCCCAGGTGATGTTAAGAGAACTATGCTAGTTCCCAGAACTATTATTTATACAGCTTCTTGGAATAATTTATTCCTTTCTTTTTTAACCAACCATCTGAAACTTTTAAGAAAAGTTATCCAGGGTGATGGCTGGGGAACTTTGAGAGTTGAAATCCACACCTCTTAAATATGCCAAAGTTGAAAAACATTGGTTTAAGCTGGCTGGAATTCTGGGATTGTATTTACATGTATTTGTTGCCCATCCTTAAGTATGCACTTCACTGCTCCAATATCTGAGGGGTTGCCACAAAGAAGAGGGAGAGAAGCTATTCTCCAAAGCACCTGAGGGCAGGACAAGAAGCAATGGTTGAAAACTAATCAAGGAGAGAAGCATTCTAGAACTAAGGAGAAATTTACCAGTGGAACATCTTGCCTTCAGAAGTGCTCCACTAATGGGTGCTCCAACACTGGAAGCTTTTAGTAAGAGATTGGACAAGCATTTGAATAGAAGAGAATGGAAAAGAATAGAATAGAATAGAATAACAGAGGTGGAAGTGACCTTGGAGGTCTTCTATTCCAACCCCCTGCTTAGGCAGGTATAATGCTACACCACTTCAGACAAATGGTTATCCAACATCATCTTAAAAACTTCCAGTGTTGGAGCAGCCACAACTTCTGGAGGCAAGTTGTTCCACTGATTAATTGTTCTGTCAGGAAATTTCTCCTCAGTTCTAAGTAGCTTCTCTCCTTGATTAGTTTCCACCCATTGTTTCTTGTCCTGCCCTCAAGTGCTTTGGAGAATAATTTGACTCCCTGTTCTTTGTGGCAACCCCTGAGATATTGGAAGACTGCTATCATGTCTCCCCTAGTCCTTCTTTCTATTAAACAAGACATACCCAGTTCCTGCAACCGTTCTTCATATGTTTTAGCCTCCGGTCCCCTAATCATCTTTGTTGCTCTTCTCTGCACTCTTTCTAGAGTCGGTATAGGTATAGGGGTTGGACTAGAAGACCTCCAAGATCCTTTCCAGCTCTGTCATTTGAATGTTGTATTATTACTTCTAAATGAGAAAAATTGCTTGGAGGATATACTTGCAGGTCAGAGGTATCTTTCTCACTATTCTCTCTTCTTTTCCACAATGGTGGTTCTCTGTGGCACAAGATCCAGCATTTTTAAAATTATTTTTATTTAAATACTTTTTTTAAAATTCTGTCCATCTATACTGCATTATGAAGATGCTGGAACAGAGGTAGAAGATCCGGGTTGCAGTTTTTCCTTAGACTTGGAAGCTGAGTGGATGATCTTGGTTTAGTTACTACTTTTCACCAAGAATTAAAGAATTACAGAGCTGGAAGTCATCTTGGAGGTCTTCTAGTCCAATCCTTTATGGCAGGGGTCTCCAGCCTTGGCAACTAAGAATTGTGGACTTCAATTCCCAGAATTCTTTAAGACTAGTAGACTTCAATTCCCAGAATTCCTCAGCTGAGGAATTCTGGGAATTGAAGTCCACAAGTCTTAAAGTGGCCAAGGTTGGAGACTCCTGCTATATGGTTCCCGACAAATGGCTGTCCAGTCTCTTCTTAAAAATCTGCAATGATGCAGTCAGTGTGGTGTAACGGGGAAGCTGCTGGATTGAGGCTCTCCGTTTCGTCAAGAGTTGACTCTGAACAGCTTAACACAAAATAAAAGCAACTAGGTAAAGTGTTAAAACAATAAAATGTTAACATTGTCTTAAAATTAACAAAGATGACAAGGAAGGGAGCAAGGTGCACTTGGGCAGGGAGGTGGGGACTTTATTTCAACCCATTCACTACCTCCAGAATGACATGGACCACAGGCCAGCTGGAATTCCTTGGCCAACAGGATCTGACCCTTTCTCTTGGTGCAGGCATGGGTGAGTCAGTTTCCCATATAACCAGGATTCATATCTTAAAGATTCTAGTTCTATCTAATTCATAGAAGCCACTTAGTGCCAGTAACTTCCTCTTAGCCAATGGCCAAGATCAGGGGTGGGCAACCTTAAACACCCAAAGAGCCACAAAAGTCCTAAACAGAAGCCCCCCCCCCTCCATTCAATTCTGGAGCCGACCGGAAGTCTGGTTCCCCCACCATAGAGTCTCCTCATAGCATGGCGTCCTTTTTCCTCTACCTTCCCTAACCAAAAGCCCTATCAATTTTGGAGCTGACCGGAAAACCCATCTCTTACATCAGAGTCTTCTCCTGGCGCACCGTGCTTCCCCGCCCCAACCGGAAACTCCTCCCAAAATTGTGGGACCGACTGGCGACAGGGAGCCGCAGTAGAAGGAGGAAAGAGCCATATGCGGCTCCAGAGCCGCAGTTTGCTGACCCCTGCTCTAGTCAGACTCCTTTAGAGGGTTCAAAATAATAACATTCCTACTTGATAGTTCTTGAGATTGGAAGATGTGCAGTCTTTGCACTTTCCTAGGATATATTTTCTTAAATTTGTTTTGGAATGGAGCGCAAGTAGCCATTGACTTATAACCACAGTTGGGGCTGGTTGCTAACTAAGCGATGAAGTCATTATGGAAGCCATCAAGGTAAAGACCTGATTTTATGACCATTTTTACCATGGCTGTTAAGAGAATCATGTCGTTTAGGTGAAATTTGGCTTCCCCAATTGATTTTGCTTGTCAGAAGCTGGCTCGGAAGGTCCACAAATCATGCTAATGTGCTCAGCTATTCTTACTAGGTATATGTACTGACTTTACAGTGGTAGAGACTAACTTGATTCTGCATCTAATAACGGCAGCAAGACTGTTGGTGGCGCAATACTGGAAGAAGGAAGACTTGCCTACAACTCAAGAATGGACATTGAAAGTTACGAACCTAGCCGAGATGGCTAAAATATCGGCATATCTTAAAGATCACTCAAATGAGAGATATAAACGAGACTGGAAAAAATGGATTGACTATATACAAAATAAATACGGGACCAAGAAATTCCTGTTAGCCTATGCTTAAGATCAGAAATGGTTTAAATTGTTTAAAGTTGGTTCAGCAAGAAAAAGCTAAGGTCAATGTAGAATGTTATTAAATTTTTTTATTTCTTTTTTTTTCCTCAGTAGATTTTAGACTGTGTTTGTTAGAAATCCATACCGTGTACGGGTTCTGGGAAGTCGGGGGGGGGGAAGTTAGAGGGGAGTTGGGGGAGAGGGTGGAGGGAGGGAGGGGTATATATTAGGCTAGACAAGAATTTGGTGGTAAACTAGAATTATTTTGATATACAAGAAATTGTACTTCGATGTCTTACTGATTGAGGAATGATGAAATGTTTGCCTTAAAAGAAATAAAACTTTTGAAATTATAAATAAATAAATAAAAAGTCATGCTAATGTGACTGCAAGGTTCAACAATCCTAAACGCCAGTTGCTCGAAAGCACCCAAATTGCAACCGCATAACAGCAGAGGGAGTCACCAACATAAATGTTGTAAATGAGGGTTTTCTTCTACTAATCTGATTAAAGCAGGAATAACATGGCTACATCAAAGCATCAGTGAAAGTGTCCAAATGTGTGTTAGTTCAAAAAATAACAATAGCCCCTTGGTTTTATTCACTGGCTTAGAGCTGCATTTTAATACAAGAAGGGAATGTATCCTTTTTTCTCCCAATAAGTGTAATTTTATGCACAAGTCTGATCACTAGACAATTATGTTTGGGAAGACCCAGAGCAGAAAAACAGGTTGCTGTAATGCTATTTGTTTTCAATATTCTTATTTCCTGCAGCACTCAAGGTGGTGTTTACATACACGATGACAGATTATCCGTCTCTTCTCCTGTGTTAATGTGGATCAAGGTAAGAATAAATATTTTGTTCATATTCCCAGTGCTTTTTTGAATATGTCATTTTGTGGATTTGTTTAGATTTGGGCAATAAAAACCTACCAGACTCTTATTTTACTGGCAAGGAAGAGAAACCCATTGTGGTATGTAGCTATTTCTTTCTTTCTTTGGGGAAAACTATGAAACTCTGGATTTTCATTTTGGATTCCACCCCCCTCCTCAAAAGGAGCCAAATATGTATCTACTCCTTTGAAGCCAAGAGCCTGGCATAGTTCCTGTATGGAATACAGTTTAACCCAGATGTCAACCATGAGAAATGAGAAAGAATTTAAACTGGTTTCCTAAGAGAGTTATTTCAAGCAGAAAACTATATGCTGAGACCTGCTTTGTTTTTTTGAAGCAGGATTTGTAAAAGTAGAAATGAAGGCATGGCTGTTATGTTCAGATATTGGCTAAATTCCCCACTTTCAGCCTCAATGCCTGATACATCTGTTGTTGTTGTTGTTAGTTGCAAAGTCATGTCCTCCAGGCCTTCCTGTCCTCTACCACCCTCTGGAGTCAATTTAACCTCACGCCTACTGCTTCAGTGACTCCATCCAGCCACCTCATTCTCTGGCATCCCCTTCTTCTTCTTTTGCCCTTCATCTTTCCCAGCATGAGGCTCTTCTCCAGGGAGTCCATCCTTCTCATTAAGTGGCCAAAGTCTTTGAGTTTCCTCTTCAGGATCTGGTCTTCTAAAGAGCAATCAGGGTTGATCTCCTCTAGGACAGACCAGTTTGATTGCCTTGCAGTCCAAGGGACTCAATGCAGGAGTCTTCTCCAGCCCCATAGTTCCATTCTTTGGCACTCAGCCTTCCTTATTAGATATGATACATCTAATAGGTAATCCTAAAGCTATAACCACAATAGGGATAAGAAAAATGCACTTTTAAAAGTTATGGTCATTAAGTGAGGCTTCACATAACCACAATATATTTTATAACTGTGGTCTTAAGTGAATCGCCATGGATGTTAAGCGAGACATATGACTTTGTCAGTTTCCCCACTGACTTTGCATGAGAGGAGTCCTCTGGGAAGGTTGCAAATGGTTGATCACATGACCACGGGGCCATTGCAACGATTGTAAGTGTGCAAAATGACCGTATGATACATTTTTTTAAAGCACAGTTGCAACTTTTAATGGTTGCTAAACAAGGCGTCCTACAAGGACTACCTGTATCCTGCCTGATAAATATTAATTCCTCCAGGAAACCCAAAATAAATAAAAAATTATATAAATTGGGATTCTCAAGTTAGATACGGATGCAGCTCAGCGGTGGGTTTCACATTTTGTTATCAGCAGTTCACCATGAGCGCATCCGCTCACTTTGTGGGCCCACCCCCGATTCCTGCTACTGGTTGGGGCGAACTGATCCAAATTGGCTGAATGCCACCTCTGATGCAGCTAGAACAAGACTAGCCAATGGTACCTCTTGAACAAAGAATATTCCTTCTTTGGGATATAACCTATTTTATTTTAAACCAACATTACATCTGATCCAAGCAATACGTTTTTGTTTGTACATTGCACACTTTACACTGCTGTGGTTCAACATCTTACCATTAGAATAGAATTCGGCTATTTTCTTGGAGATTTAAGTGATTTAAGTTATATGGCCAGTCCTTGACTTACAACCGTTCATTTAGGGATTGTTCAGAGTTGAAAAAATGACTTATGACCAGTTTTCACATGACCATTGCAGCACCCTCATGGTCAAGTGGTCAGAATTGGGGTGCTTGACAACTGTCATGCATTTATGACCATTGCACTGTCCTGGGGCCATGTGATCACTCTTTGTGACCTCCAACTGGCTTCCAAGAAGTTGTTGTGGCCCGCCAGTGGCCAACAGAGCTGGCAGCAGATTCAGACAGTGAGGAGGTTGGGGAGGAACATGGGCCAGTCCTGGAATCTGGGAAATGCTTTGATGAGGGCTCTGTGTCGGAGGCAGAGAGGGGGCCAGAGCCGTATGTCAGTTATCAGCTGCCTTCAGAGTCAGACATCAGTGAGGCAGACAAACAGTTGGAGTCTGTTCCCAGTGTGCGCATACGCATAAGTGCCAGACAAAGGGAACAGCTAAAGAACAGGGGTCGACTTGAGACTAAGGCCACAGGTGGACGATGAATGGCCCCTCCCAGAGGAAAAGAAAAGAGGAGCGAAGGGGGAGTGGAGTTTGCAGGAGACAATTAGTTCGCTTCATTGGTTTTGTGACTCTCCAAGATTCCTTGGCAAGTTTTGCAGATATCGGCCTGGCAGCTCTCCAAGCCAGATAAGGTCTGTGACTATAAATCCTCCCTTGAAAGACTGTGCTGGATGTGAATGAGCAGAATTCAAAGCCAATTAAAAAAAGAGTTTTTTGTCGGGACAAGGAGTTGGCTTCATGCTCTCGGGAAGCCTTGGTCAGAACAGAAGCGGGTGGGGGTGGGGGACACCAGATTCACTTAATAGTTGTGGCAAAAATGGTTGTAAAATGGGTATAGCTGATCCCTTAGTTAACTGAATCTACTGGTTTTCATGCCTTTTTGAGTCTACCTTAACCAGAAGATCTGGACAAAGACACAGTCACAAAGATTTGTGTTTGTCCTGCTGAGTGAATAGTTCGATATTCATCATATTCATAGATCGATAGACCTGGGCCAGAAATCATTGCTAATAGAAGGGAACTCCAATGCATTAAGATATTATGACCCATGGTGGCGCAGTGGTCGGAATGCAGTATTGCAGGCTAATTCTGCAGACTGCCAGCACTTTGGCAGTTCGATTTTCCCCAGGCTCAAGGTTGACTCAAACTCCCATCTTTCCGAGGTCAGTAAAATGAGGACGCAGATTATTGGGGGCAATAGGATGATTCTGTAAAACTGCCTAGAGAGGGCTGCAAAGCACTATGAAGCGTATACACCATATTTTTCGGAGTATAAGACGCACCAAGATTGTGAAGAGATAAATTAAAAAAAAAGTTTTTGAATTATGCAGGCCTCCCAAACCCTCTGCATGCTTCATTTTTTGTGAAAATCGGGGCATGCAGAGAGTTTGAGAGGCCTGCAAAGTGCTCCTGGGGGCTGCCCCCCCCCCAATGAGCAAAAAATGGCCTGTTTTTCATGGAAATGGACCCATTTTTTTGCATAAAACATGGCTTTGGGAGGCTTATATAGTGTTGCTAGGGGCTGGGGGGCAAAAACAGGCAAAAAACAGTCCCTTTTTCATTCATTTTTGCTCTCACCAGCCCCCAGGATCACTTTGCAGGCCTCCCAAACCCTCTGCACATCCATTTTTGCAAAGGGAGCGGGGTTTGGGGAGGCCAAAAATGCTGTATTCAGTGTATAAGATGCACCCAGATTTTTTTGGGGGGGGGAAATGTGCGTCTTATACTCAGGAAAATATGGTAAGTCTTAGTGCTAGTGCTATATTCCTCCACTCCTGAATGCCCCTGCTTGCTATGGGAATTTTGTAAGCTTCTTTTTCTTTGCAATTGGCAGAAAGCAACTCACAGGAGGGCTGCCTGTGAAATATTCCCCCCACCCCCTCTGTGGATGGTGTGTCTGGAGGAATGGCATTTTTCTTCTTAATAAGAGCTGCCATAGATTTTGGTAATTGGCTGCCTTGCAATATCTGTTAGATGATTCAGCTACTTAGTTCAGCATTATTAAAACTGGGTTATGCAAGGCACTATTATGTTTGCCAGACAATCTATAATTTGTTTGTTTACTATCTCTCAACGTTCTCGAGATTTCCTTTGATGATGCAGTTTCCCCCCCGCTTCCTTTAAATAGTTGCATTTTTATACCATTATTTAACCTAGCAGATGTGATCATTCAAACAGGATGCCAACGCTTTCGCCTTGGCTGATAATGCAATTTTCACATAATTACACCGTCTCCTTTGTTTTTTTTAAATTTGTATTTAATTTAATTCTTATCACATTTGTATTTAATTCTTATCAAAGCTTTATTGGTCTTTTCCAAGTTTTCATCATAAATACTGTTCCCCCCTCGCTTTTTCTTTTTTTTTTAAAGGAAGATAAACGATTCTGGTTTCCATCTGGATGATGAGACCCTGTTCCTTGTCCAGTTGATACTTTAACTCTTGCAGGATTTTTTTTTTCTTTTTTGAGAGGAACAGACAATCAAACAGACAATGGTTTTAGAGGATTAGAGAACTCGAGGCTAAAACATACAAAGAACAGTTGCAGGAACTGGGTATGTCCAGTTTAATGAAAAGAAGGACTAAGGGAGACATTATAGCAATCTTCCAATATCTCAGGGGTTGCTACAAAGAAGATGAAGTCAAACTATTCTCCAAAGCATCTGAAGGCAGGACAAGAAGCAACGGAAATTAACGAAAGAGAGAAGCAACTTAGAACTAAGGATGAGAGGCGGATCCTGATGTCGCTACGACATGACATGCAATCTTGGGGCTCCAGGATTGCTGTCGATATCTCTGTTGCTGGATGATCCTTTTGGATCTAAACCGTTCTGAAGGAACGGTGATAGAGAAGGGCATGTCCTGCTGATCTCAGGGGCATAGCAAAGCCTCTGATCAATCCAGGAAAAAGCTCTTTTTGTTGGCTACAAGAGAAGCAGCCAAAATGGCTGCAGAAGGTAGGGACAGACCCCTGAAACGGAAGCAGAATAGGAGAGACAGTGTGTCGAAATGGTGAGAAAAATCCTTATTATTAGAGAAGATACAAGGAAGCAAGCAGCAAATTAACCCTGGTTTAAAACTATTGTGTTATCTTTTTCACTTTAATTTTGTTTGTTTTCTGTGAATGGACTTTTTACAAATGCCTCTTACTTTTAAACTGGACTGGTCTTTTTCCCCCCTTCTTCCTCTATACTTTTTCCATTTTTTGTATTTGTGGATTAAAAGTTTCTTTCCTCGCAAGGCTCGGAGGAAAGGCTCATAAACTTAATGGAAGTTTAACAATTATAACAATTTGTATACATGTATATTAGATTGATGATACTAATAATGGAAAAAAACATGGAATTGAAAATTATTAGAGAATGTTATCAATGCTAAAATAATAGAATGACTGAGAATAGGATATAAAAATTCTTTATTATTGGATATATTGAAGATGATATAATGAATCATTATAATACAAATGGATACATATTTAGAATACCTTGTTTAAAATGGAGAAACAATAGTGATAATCAAACAAACGAAGTATAATAATATTGTATACAAAGATATTTGATTGACAATATGTGATTTTTGATAAAGCTCAAGTGATGACTATGGAAAGGACGCAGAAAGACCTTGTAACCAGTCGACACACTGTAGGCAGTTGAAGAGGTTTTTATGTTTTATGTTTTGTGCGTTTACGTTTGTTTGAAAATAAAAGTTTTATTAAAAAAAAAAAAAAGAACCAAGGAGAAATTTCCTGACAGTTAGAACAATTAACCAGTGGAACAGCTTGCCTTCAGAAGTTGTGAATGCCCCAACACTGGAAGTTTTAAAGAAGAGAGCCCAGAAAGAGATCCTCACAGGGCTCAAAGCATTTTTGTGAGCAGATATGAGTCTAGAGCTTATTCTGTCAATTGTTTTCAAGTAAGACAATATTTAGGGTCTGTGGTCATAAATCAATGACTACTTGCACTCCATTCCAAAACAAATTAAGAAAAATGTATCCCAGAAATGTGCAAAGACTACATATCTTCCAATCTCCAATAGGCTATATGACCAAAATTCTGACACTTGGCAAGTGACTCGTATTTATGACCGTGGCTCTGTCCCCTGGGGTCATCCCCTTTTGCGAACTTCTGACATTGGGAATTCACTTAACGACCATGTTACTAAACTTAACAACTGCGGTAGTTCACGTTAACACGTCTGACAAGAAAGGCCGTAAATTGGGGCAAAATTCATTTAACTCACTTAACAACAGAAATTTTGGGCTCAATTGTGGTCGTAAGTCAAGGACCACCTGTACTTATAGAAAGAGAAGAGCAAAGGTGTTGGGTGACACTGCAAAGCGTTTCTGTCCACCCTGTGGTGAAACAATATGGCCGACTGGGGAGATTGGCCTAACCTAGAAGGATCCTGGGGCTGTTTGAGGATAAAGCTGCTTCTCCTTCCTCCCACCAGCGCTGGCTGATTTATTTCAGTGTTTATTTGTTCAAGTTACAAGCTGTTTTAGTCCAAGTGATTATGCACTATTCGAGCCAATGGAGCAAGGAGGCAAAATGTGTCCAAGAACAAGAAAAACCTCTAGATCTATGGCTATATTAGGGAAGACAGCACTAAGAACAATATTGCAATATCAGGGTGGATTGCAGAGTGTCCTGTCACAGGGCTCATAATAGAACTTCTGGCTTATTCTGGTATGGCCATAAATTTGGGACTCTCGTCCTGGGATGTCAAACCTTGGCAACTTCAATACCCGTGGACTTTGAGTCAAAGAATGGGAGGATGGGGAATTTTGGCTTTTGAAAATCACAAGTCTTAAAAAGTGGAAAAGGGGGGGAGAGAGGAAGGGAAGCAAGAGAAGGAGAAAGGGAGGGAGGGAGAAAGGAAGGGAAGCAGGAGAAGGAGAGAGGGAGGGAGGGAGAAAGGAAGGGAAGCAAGAGAAGGAGAGAGGGAGAAAGGAAGAGAAGGAGAGAGGGAGGGAGGAAGAAGGGATGGGGGAGAGGAAGGGAAGCAAGAGAAGGAGGGAGGAAAAAGGGGAAGGAGGGAAGAAGGAAGGGAAGCAAGAGAATAAGGGAGGGAGGAGGAAGGAAGGGAGAGGAGGGAGGAAGGAATAGGAGGGAAGAAGAATGGAAGCGAGATGGTGGGAGGAAGGGAAGCAAGAGAAGGAGGGAGGGAGGAAGAAGGAAGGAAGAGGAGGAAGGAAGAGGAGGAAGGAAGTGAAGGAAAAGGAGGGAGGAAGCAAGAGAAGGAGGGAGGGAAGGAGGAAACAAGAGAAGGAGGGAGGAAGGAAGGAAGAGGAGAAAGGAAGGGAAGGAGGAGGAGGGAGGAAGTGAAGCAACAAGAAGGGAGGGAGGGAGAAGGAAGGGAAGGAAAAGGAGGGAGGGAAGAAGGAAACAAGATGGAGGGAGGAAGAAAGGAAGAAGGAAGGAAGGGAAAGAAAAGAAGGGAGGGAAGGAGGAAGAAGGAAGAGAGCGAAGGAAGAAAGAAAGAAGGAAATGAGCAGGAGGAAGGAAGGAAGAGGAGGGAGGGAGGGAGGAAGGAAGGGAAGGAGGCAGGCAGGAAGGAAATAATTGCTTGGGGTGGATGCTATCTCCCAGGGAAGACATGGTTACCACCATGGCATGTCTCCCAAGGTCCCAGAAGACCCCATAACTGCCCTGATGGGACCTGGAGGACACATGCATTGTTAGAGCTAATAGCATGAAGAAGCAAAGAGGAAGAAAGAGATACGGTTCCACAGAGAAGTCTGGTTCTGAACCATGAAAGGGCATCACTGATGATGATCTTGAAATGTCCTCAGAAGCCACCTGGCAACTGGTGCAACTCATAGGACAGAGGAGTTTACACAACTGCAGCCTCCCCCATCCAGGGTCTTATGTGGGGTGTGTGGGGCGTCTTTGTTATGAAAAACAGCTGTGAAGCTTGTGGAAAAGGGGGCAGAGCTTCAATGGGATGTTTCTGACCTCCATGTCAATTTTTTCTAAAAACCCCTCATGGGTGCCCCTGGCATCTCTTTTCTGTTTATCCCTGAGACGTGTGAGATTTCCAAGAATACAGAAATTACTCCGCAATGTTTTTCTTTTTCTTCTTCTTCTTCTAGGCCCTGGATCTGATTTTGGAAAAGATGAAGTCCGCAGGCTTTAATTTCTCCACTGTAAAAGCTTTGTCTGGAGCTGGACAGGTTGGTTAAAAGGAGGGGCAATGATGGAAAACAGATGCTTTGGCCTCAGTATGTTGGCCTCAGTTTAAATCCTCCCTCCCTCAATCCCACAATCCCTCTCTCCCTCCCTTTTATCTTCGTTCATTCCTTCTTCCCTCGCTCCCTCCCTCCCATCTTTCCTTCCTTCTTCCCTCCTACCTTTTCCCTCCCATCTTCCTCCCTCCCTCTCTTCTTTCCTCCCTCCCTTCCATCTTCCTCCCTCCCTTCCATCTTCCTCCCTCCCTTCCATCTTCCTCCCTCCCTT